TCTGGTGTGGTGTGTGTGTGTGTGTGGGGGGGGTGCATGGGTGTGTATACATATACATATATACAAACAAACATTTTTGTTTCAGGTGAACGATCCAAGTTCAGACATAGATATGAAATTGGAAGTAGTTGCCCTTGATTTTGTCTTCTATGGTGGTTGTGTACAAGAAATCATCAGTGAAGAAACAACTCATGTCATCATACATTCCAAGTTTGTATTTCTTGAAACTATTATTTGCATTGCAGGGTGGTAACTTAAGAAAAATATTGCATTTTCTTCTAAAAATTAAATTAATTGTTATCAACATCAGGGCATTTATCTTCTTATAATAGTGCAGTCCAATAGTAGAGAATAAGGGGAAGATTTGATGTATTTTTTAAATTTGAGGCCTTTGTCACTGAACACAAACATCAGGATTGCTTTAATTTTGTCTAAAACATGTCTTTTAAGCAAAAAATGTAAAAAAAAATTGATTTTTTCCCCTTCAAAATAACAATAACTTCAGTTTTTTATAAATGATATTCTCTTCGAACAGCTTTCATTGTCCGTTCAAATCGTTTTTAGAAAAGTCAAACAGCAGAAAGTTTTGTGTACATTTAATATTTTGTTTTAAGGTTTTTTTAAATTGGTTAATATGAATATAATGGTTGCTAACAACAATTGGCATGGAAACAGGTTTTCAAGGAAAATTAGTGATGCTACAATACATATATTCCCACATTATTTCTAAATTTCCAATTTTCGAAAATTCAATGTGTTCATTTCAAATGAAAACCCGCACCATTCGTTTAAGTGTTCCTTGTTCTATATGTGAAAAAAATTGGAGCGGTTTTTGAGAAAAGTTTGTTTTATGAATTGCTTTAATTTCAAGTTCAAATTTCGCAAAAAGTACTAGTTTTTTCAAACAATTGTTCCTAACCATCTTTAAAAATCTGATTTTTTTGAACAGATATTTAGGGGAAAATCTATCTTCAAAATTGAAGTTTTAAAATGTAAAAATTTTGCCCTTGAATTTTTCGTCGGAGGTGAATGTCTTAAGGGTAGCATTGGTGCCCCCTTACCACTCGCCAACACAAGACAGAGGTGTTCCACTAGTTGTGCAACTACAGGTCTGTCTGTACGACCTGGCACTCAAACAGCACGCTCTACTCGTCGTCCACATGATCAACCACGCGGTTATGGGTCGGATCCATGTGGCGAAACGAACGCGCCATGTCAAGACGTCATATGCCGTGCCGGGGTGCACACAATTGCGCCGAGAGAACTTGTCCGGGTCACCTGCGTGGTGATGCAACAGATGCGTACAATTAAGCGGCGCGGCGTGCGCATGCTCACGCCGGACCGGAGAGAGAAGGAAGGGTTTCTCCCTTGTCCCTCCGGAGCCGAGGCAAAGATGCGACGCTGACGTAGCTCCTGTCGTTCTCCTCCGTACGCCACCTGAAATAAAGCTCATTTGCGATGCAAACATAAACATAAGCATCACCTTAACACAAAAAGTAGGACTACGTCTATAATCGAACTCTTTCTCTATACGTTCGCATAAGCATAACACGTAAGACGTTAACTTCATAACTTGCAAGCTTCTGTGCTTATGCTTAAGTAAGAAACAAGAAATGAACCAATCACCGAGAGTTATCTCAAAACCGAGTATCGAAATAGGATCGAAGCCCATAGATCGATCAAAAGACCGGTTTTCGAGTTTGTGTCTGTCGTCCCGCTCGTCACTGGGCCGCTGCGCGTGTGGGCGGGTGGCGGCGCGGGAGCAGAACGCCTTCGCCGCCACCCTCGGGGCCTCGCGTCGCGCGGCGCCGTCGCAGCAATAGGGAAGCCGCAGGATCGTGACGCGCTGCGTCGACCGCATTTTCCCGAGGCACTTCTCGTATGTATGTTTTTTTATTTATCGTGTGCCATTATTTGCGGAGAGACTGCCGTTAGTCAGTGTTCCGCACCCGACGCCAGCCTTCCCGGGGGCCTTTATCGAGCAGGCGCACCTCGCGGGCGGTCCCCTAATGCGCCTGGGATTTGACTCTCACTTTGTCCGCCGAGCGTCGGTCTCCCTTCACTACATCCGAACTGTCTGGTTGGGACAAAGGGGTGGGCTCGTTTGGGCGGGCCGCCTCCAGGGGTCTTTAACATGACGTAAGAGTGACATGGCTTCTGGAGGTTTTCCGCCCATCGAAACCCTCGGCACCTCGTCCGGGATCGAATCCGCGCCCTGGGGGTTCAGAGGCCAGTCAACCAACCCTTCACCCAACGAAGCAGCTAGCACTGCTTTGCGCAGGGCGTGCGCGGGGGCCTGGGGAGGCGGGCCGAAAGCTGTTCCTCCGGCTGGTTCGGCGCGCCTCCCGATCCGCGCTGCGTGCAGATTCCGTAGCCTCTGCAGCTGCAAGGGCGAGCCAGCTGGTATCAACTTTGTTCTGCGGCCGCGACTTGGCGCCGTGCCTATTCCTCCAGGTCCCACATCGCCTGGAGGGGATAGGTGGGATAAGTCTGACCTTGTCGTTACCGTGTCCAGGAGCCCTGTAACCGTAGACAGTTCGGCAACCTCCGGCGAGGCAAGCTGGTCCCTGTTGGCGCGTGGGGTGGGGTGGAACGGGTCTCGCATGGGCTACAACTCCACACTAGCACTTGCTCTACCTCTGGGCATGAACTTTCGGGGTAGCCACCTAAGCTGTACGCCCTGCCGGGGCACAGGTGCGCTGGCAGGCTGGAATCCGGATACCGCCGGAACGCAGTTTGCCCTCGTAGCAACCTCCCCATTTAATCCCCGGGAGGGGCCGCCCTGCCATCTCTCATACTCTAGCTTGCCAGGCTAGTACCGGAGTTGAAACAGTGCGCTACCCACATGCATGGAGAACACGTCCCTCCTCTTTGGGCCACTGCCACGACGAAGCCATGAGCCCATCAGGAGACCACCTACATTTTGGTGCGAGCGGCTTCGAGCCCCCTTCCCGTCTCCTCTCCGCCTACACTTTTAGGCCAGTGACGTCAGAACGTAGGCAACCCGACGGGGGTATTCGCCCCCCCCCCCCCGCGCCAGGGGCCCAGGGGGGTTTCCGGGTAAGATCCGGCAACACGAAGCGTAGCATCGTCTCCTTACTGCCGCCACTGAAGCAAACGGCGCGAGTGTCGCCGAGAAACTCAGGGTCCAGGTGGTCATCTACAACTCTCCCCCAGAAATCGCAGACGCGATTCCCCCTGCGGGGGTGGGTGGGGGGAGCGTCGCGTCTGACTGCTTCGCTGCTGCCCTGTTGGGTGGTAGGCGGGTCGATGCAGCATTTGCCGCGTTTTCTGCCAGATACCTCCTGGTTGGGCTCACACAGCAAAGCACAATTATACTTGCAAGCTTTTTTATTTCATACACTTGGCAAGATAGAATCCGTTGATTCGTCTGAGAGTCAACCGCCGAGAAGTTTCTCGATCAGTTCAAACACCTAACGGCGACAACAAGCGGCATCCCCTCTCTGCCTCTGCCTCTTCCGATGCGCAAACAATTCACGAGCGCCCGAATGCCTTTGCAAAACGCACACGGAAATTAGAGTCGATCGGCATATTGTGCACACGTAGTGCGTGCCGGCTGAAGGGTCTGTGAAGAAGTTCAAATTTCTCTTACGCAAGGTTTTTTGAATTTGTAGTTCGGGTTAAATACAGTCAGTGTGCATGTGTCACTTGGTTGTATGAATAAAATTAAGGAATTACTCTTTGCTCCGAGTTTCGGAGATCCTTCTCAGTTTTTTATGAATTAAGAGGGTGAGCAATTGTTCCATCTCTGAGTGTACTCGCAACTGGTGAGCAAATGCTCAGAATTGGTATGAATAAAGTTAAGCGTTTACTCTCTAGAGTGAGCACTTGCTCCAAAATTTCAGAGGGACTTTAGTAGCAGACTCACGTTTGAAAAGTAAGGTTAAATTGGCCCATTTTTTACCGTGTGTTGATATGCAGATGCAGCGGAGTAAAAAATTGCAAGATAAGGCAAAATTCTCGTGATACAGACTATTAGAATCTTTGCCGATTCGAAAAGGACAAGGTATGGTTAGTACGAGTTTTATCCGCGTTTGATTTCAGGCACGTTTTCATATTGCCTATCTTCTATGTTAATTGGCCATCGTTCTTTTCTACTTGGAATTTTTCGGGATACTGTTTTTTCAAACTTTGTAATGTTTCGCTTAAGCCACAGCGTACCTCCGGAAGCTGGCTCTTTTCAAAAATAATTTTATATTCGCTTAGCATTTCGGCAAAAACTAGCTGGGCCTCTAGCGCCTGTTTTTCGTTACTGCTACTCATATTCGAATTTAAAGAACGAGACAACAAAACATTGCTCTTTATTCCGCACAAATGTGCACGACGCGCGTACTTAACTCTTAGCCTGCACTATCACTTGTTCACGACAAGCAAGTGCTCGCGAGACATAAGTTCTCTCTGCATCCACGAGCTATCAAAGGGTTTAGCAAAGAACTTGGTCTCAAAATTAATAACTCGGTCCACTGAAGTCAAAGGCAGCCCGGAACCTCTGCTTCGCCGCTGGTCCTTTTTTGGTGCGGAGGTTTGACGTAGGTAGAGGCTCTGGCGGCTGCAGCGGGGAGAAGCTCCTCAATTCGCAGAAAATTATGCATTGCTGCGCGAAAAACGCTGAATTTTCGATAGAAAAGCTTTTATTGCAGGGCCCTGGCAACGAAAAAGTGGATATAAATCCAGTTGCTAAATTTAGGAAAAATCCTCTAACACGTGGTGTAGCCAGAATCTATGTTTTGCGGCTCCTTGATACCGAAGAGTCGAATGACGGCAAAACGTCTGTCTATCCGTCTGTGAACAACGCTACCGTCCAAATCGTTCAGCCGATTTCTCCATCGATCTGGTTGATGTCGCGGTCCTTTAAATTTGAAACCAATATTTTAATTTTGGGGGTGGGGGATTTTACATGAAGACTGGGACATTTTCCAAATTTTCCTAAAAATGGCTCTTTTTGCTAGCGTGAAAGACGTTTAAGAAAATGGCGCAAGTATCATGTTCGTTAAAAAGCCTAATTTTTCAAAAATTGTAAAAATCCAAACATTTTATATGATTAAAATGTTGAGTGATGATTTTATATAATTAAAATATTGAAGCTAGAGATGTTTTACCTGTACCTGAAAGATTTTGAAATAAAGTCATGTACAATTTTTCGAAAGTTTGAGAACGTTTTGTGTAACTTTGCGTGAAAATAAAGGAGGGGGGAGAAAGTACGTGCTGTTTGAGCACCACTAGTTTTGAGGTTGTCCCTTGTTTAGCACGTTAACCCCCGCGCCTCGAGCGATCTCCGCCTGCCTGCCCGCCGTGGCTAGCACTTGCTCCACAGGTGACAGCAGGGCGGGGGCGGGCGGTGCCGCAGTTCTACCCTTCGTCTTTTGCTTGGGGGGCATTTTATTTGGGCATATTCGCCGACGTGAGGGCTGAGCGGAGACCTAGCTAAGAAGGATTGTTAGTGGAAATGGACGGGGTGGGGATGAGGTATGTAGGTTTGTGGTGGTGCGAAGGTTGCGTGTTAGGTGAGTGGGTGGGTGGATGAGGACAGGTCATGGGTTGATGGGGAGGGGGAGGTCGAAAAGCGGCCTTATTTTTGCCCAGGCTTTACAATATTTTCTCTATACTACGCAGGTAGTATGCGAAAAAGTAAAAAAAAGGGTGGTTTTGTGTTTTCTTGAAACAAATTAAAAAAAGTTGGAATTTTTACAATTTTTTGCTTAAAAATCGGTTTCCAGACAAAATTCTTGTTGGAAAATCTGATATTCATGTTTAGCAACCCAAGAAACGTAGAAACCAAATAACTAAACTACACCAAAACTTTTCGTGATTTGCTCCTTTTTGCACAATTTGACTGGTCTGGCTGTTGAAGATTTGTCTGTCTCATTCGCTCAAGTGGTTAGAGCAACTGGGGTTGGCTGAGGTTTTCGAGTTTGAGTCTCAGCCGGGGCACACAATTATTTGAAGCGTCAAAACTTAATTTACTGCAATTACAACATTCTTAGTAGCTATGTGGTCGTAAAGGTAGTTGACATTTGTGGAACGGAAAATGTATTCCCATGTAATTGTTAATTTTTCTACCATGTTCAGATGGTGAAATGTATAGTGTCAATGAAGGGGCTTTTATCTCACTACGGATTATCTTGTTGCAACATCACTAGTAATAAAAGTGAATACAACGCGTGACAAACACGCGTGACACACACGCGTTGTCAACAAAGTGACGTGTGGTGAATATAATAAAATTATTTTTCGCCACGTCCCCAAGATATTTGAAGTTCATTTTAAATGAAGACAACCACACAAAAATTAGTCTCTCCAAGTCTGTAATAAATTAGACAGTTATAGATGCCCTAGAGAACAGTAAAGTAGAAACCCCACTTAAACTATTCATCTTTGCTGCCAAGTTCGTATGTTCGTTTTTTTGGGAGAGAAAAAAAATTGTAAACGGACGAAAACTATTATTTTTTTTAATTTACCGCACATCGTACAGACAAGCAAGGATAATTTATCAAATGGAACATCCAGAAATAAATGGCATTTAACATATCTCATTATGAATGCATTCGAAACAACAAATTTGTTACCTTGTACAAATGTTTATTTTCTCAATGCTTCAAACAATTAATTTTTAAATATAATGTTAATATTAATCACTTAACTATTCGATACTATAAACACATAGTATAAGACAAATGGTTTTTGGTCCTGCAGCATTACATTCTTTAAATACAAAAATAATTAAATACTCGAAAAAAAAATTCAGACGTATACAACATAACGAATGTTAATGGACTCAATTCTTTCGTAATTTCTAATTTAATCATTTACTCCAAATATTTCGTTCTGACGCAACGGAAAACTGAAGCTTTTAAATGCAGTGCAGAGTGCATTAGACAAAATAACTATAAGTGGGACGAAGTGCGGTGACCATGGAATCCAAATATATCCGTTTTTAAGTGACATGTTTCTGATTTAATCCATCTAATGATTGTCTCTAACTAAAAGATGCAAATAATAAATCACTAAATAGATAATCAATAAACATTTATAAGTGATATAATTTAGCCATTTTTGTTTTGCACATTATAATTAAAAGACAAAAGAAAAGCCAGCAACACCACACGCGTATCTATCAAGAAAAAACTTATAAATTAGAATGCTCTCTAGGCCCTGATAGAAATGGTCAAATTATTAAATATTCTAAATTAATCCTGAATATTACTTCTGGAATTAATCAATTAATAAATAATTACCATTTTTAATTAAATCAATTAATAAGTTATTAATCACCTGGATATATTTACTATCTACTTGATATAGTTTCTAGGTGGTGTTGCTGGCACTCCACAGTTGGATGTTATCTTAACTCGGACAATATTATACTTCTATGAATGATGGCCTAAATAACACAGCTCTTTGAGAATTATTTGCCCCCGGTATGAAGGAAATATAAAAGCAGTTATACCGGCAGACAGACAACTTTATGTACTCGCTTATCGAGTACATACTTTATGTACTCGTACATCAAGAATACTAATTGTAGAAAGTAAAAGTAAAAGTGCGAGGAAGAAAAATATAATTAACATCAGCATTTTCAACAAGAAATTATAATTAAAATTAAATTAATTATTTCTCATATCATGCACTTTTCCTGTGGCCCTTAGTTGGTGTGATATATTTCATTAATTTCAACCAGAAATAACGCAAAAACTACTCTTTTTCCAAAAAATTGAACATGACTTTTCTTAAAGAGTGAATTTTGTGCAACATTTTGAAGCAAAAATCTCTGTCTTCAATTTTGTAGTTTTGATATTTTTTTGCAGTTTTCGAAACAAACTACCAATTCTCAAAAATGAGACTGTTTCTTACCATTCTTTATTACATATATGGAGAAAATTTGAAGATAAGCAGCAAAAAAGAAAGAAAAAGTTGGAGTAGATTTTAAGAATTATTTTGTAAATTTCAATTGCAGTATACGCCAAAATGACTCCTATTTTTCAAACAATTATATATGACCGTTTTTGGAGAGTTAATTTGTACAACACTTTGTCTGAGACAAAAATCTCCATCTCCAATTTTTAAAGTTTTAATTTTTTTTTCTTTCAATTTTCGAAAAATCGATAATGCAACTCTGAGCAATTCTCCTTAATGTCCTTTGCACTATTCAATAACAAAATGTAATTAAAAATTTTAGAGCCCCTTTTTTGAAAATGTCCCAAGAGCCTTCATGTAAAGTACTCCAAAATTAAAATTTCGGTTTCAAATTCCAGGGTCTACATCAGCTAGAACATTTTAGGAATATCAATTTTGGAGAAAATTGGCTAAACGGTTTATGTGCTAGCGTTGTGAACGGACGGCTAGACAGGCAGACATACTAGTTTTGCTGTCAAACGATTTTTCGGTATCAAGGACCCACAAAACAGATTCTGGCTACACCACGTGTTAGAGGAATATTTTGTCTATAAAAAAAATGAATGCCCACCTTTTTCTTACCAGAGCCTTGCAATGAGTTTTTGTGTCGAAAATTCACCGTTTTGAGAAATTAAGAAATTTCAATCAAACACTCTTGTCAAGCACTTCTAGTTTAACTGCCATTAATTTATAATTCAAGAATTAATTTGAAGTGAAAGTACCCTCAGAGTTTACTTATTAAAAATAAAAATTCCAATTTTTGAGGATTCACTGGTTTCTTTTATTTTCTATGATCATGTTTCTATTTGATTAAGTTGTGGAGGAATAGTATTAATTTCTTAAGTAAGATATTGAAAAGGAAGACAATATTTATAGGTTAGTGAATTTGTTCTAATATAATGTTTTTTTTACAGGAATATGAACCACTTGGAAGAATTACAAATGATCAATCATCAGAGAGAGAAGAAATTTCACATTGTTACTGAAAAATGGGTTGAGGAATGTGTAAAGAAAACATGCAGAATTAATGAGAGAGAGGACATATTCAGTTCTTAGCCCACATATATTCACAATTGAAATAATGTACCTTTATATTGAAATGTTTGGGACAAGTAGTATTTTGCATTTTTATTTTTTGAAGTTTGTTAACATAACATTTTTACAACTTCAACTTTTAATTTTAAGGATTAGTAAACATTATTTGTGTAGTTTGTTTGAACATCTACAGTATTGTAAGTAGGTCTATTCCTGTTAATTGTGGAAAACTAATTTTTATTATGTATTTGTCGAGTGTGAATGTTTTCCTTTTTTTCATTTTAATTGGAAGATTTGTCACATTTTATGATTTTTAGTAATGAATAATATTATGTTTAATCGACTTTGAGTGTATTGTGATGGATAAAATATAAAAATATGTTGAAGGTATAGACTCAGTAACATATTCTACAAATGTTGCATTTTGTTAAGTTAAGAACAACAGAAAAGCAGTTACCAGTAAATGAAGATTAAAATGTTAGTCCTTACTCCCATTGTGGGTTTTTTTGTAAAGCAGAATAAAGTGAAATGTCATAATGGACTTCTCTTGGGTCAATTTGATTGATTGTCCATTTTTGTACTAGTGATTTCACATTGTTTATGTATATAATTTGATGTTTCAATGGGAAGTGCACATCGTTGTGTTAGTTTGTGTAAATAAACATTTACCATTTTCCGTATTTAATTAATTTTTGATTGTATATGACAGTTTATGGGAACATTACTACACAAAAAGAAAGTGTCATATTTTTTTTGTTTAACAGATTTTGTAACTGTACAATTTAATTAGTTGATGTAGAGAGGTCATTGTTTCATACAATGGTATAAAACCTAAAATGGTACAGGAAAGATTGTGTGATATTGCATTCTGTGGCCTAAGGAAATTGTAATGCTAAGTATCTATAATTTTTGTTATTTTTGTATAAAAAAAATACCATCAAATTGAAGTTTGATTGGTGCTCATGCGAAACAATCAATTACTACTGCCCACATTTATTGAATTGAATTAATGCCTTATTTTACCTGGCGAGACTCGGGCAATCAGACCCACTCTTCTGCCTGACATTGCAAATTTTGCTATGCCCCTTTCACCCACTGGCGGAGAAAGGAGGTATCACTTGGGCAATGAAACAGGCAATTTGAATTTAGCTCAGAGGCTTAATTTAGGGATCATCTTTTACATACAGTAAATCTACTTACATGGGACAGCTGGCTTTACTTCCCTTCCGAAGGAAGGCTTATTTTTTTCGCCCTTAAACATCCACGACTTTGATGGGGTTTGAACCTGTGAACTTGGATATAAAGGTCTGCTACACCTCAATTAAATTTGCTTTTATTTAGCTTCGTATAGCTTTTAAGATTGTATATGAAAATATACAATATATTTTTATGAGCACCAAACATAGATGTACTGAATAAGCACAATATATATAAGTGTATATTTTTGGTAAGATGAGTACAATAACTATTATCAAGTAAATTTTACAAATGTTTGAATTGTTGTAAAAACAGTTTATGTAATTTAATGATTGTCATTGTAATATTAATGTAAATTTAATTTTGTCAATAAAACAAAATTTAAAAAAAATAGCTACAGATGCTACAACAGCAAAAACGTTTCTGCATGATTGGAAACAGTGTTGTAATATTGAAATAGTGCAATTTCTGCAGTGATGTAACTAGGAAAAATGTCGCCCAGGGCAAGTCCTTACGATTGTGTTACCCTATCATGAATTATAGTAATTGTGATTGGTTCACAATTGTTTTTGTTTACCACCATCTCAATCAGGTATTTGTCCAGTTTCCCTGATCCATTGAGCAAATGCTGAGATGGCCCCTTGTTTTGCTTCTGGAGATAAATGTAGCTTCACTATGTGCACATTCTTTTGAACTCTCCTTTTGCTTGTAATGGTAAGAGTAGAGGTAAGGGCGAGTTGCTATTTTGTTCACACTGCAGAAAAATCATACTTGCAATTCGTATACCGATGCAAATAAGTTTTTTATCACTCAGAAACGAAAATGATTATTTTTCAAATATTGCTAATCTTGCAATTTTTAAAATTCATTTTTATTTATTTATGTTAAACTTTTACTTATCTTTCTACTATTTATAGTTAAAATGACGGGAAGGGATTCTGGAACTCAAGAAAACATGCACAGATATTTCCCCCCCTACTTCACACAGTTTTTACTGTTTTTTGACTGAATAAATCTACATCTAAACATGTGTTGAGTCTGTATAGACGCAATGCGTCTCCTAGATTCTTAAGGGGCGTTGAGCACACTATGTAGTAATCAGGGTGACCACTTTCTGGAAATCACAGGGAATTTCAATTCTAAGAAAAAACACAGGGAGAAAAGTTGTCACGTTCAAAATATTGATTGTCGATTCTAACAATTACTTCCAATATATGGAATTATTAATTTGATAAAATTAAACATAAGAAATTTTATTAATTATAAGAATCATTTTAAATAACTGTTATAAATTAATTACGTAATTTTAAGTAATAAACTAACAAATTTCACGAGAGTTTATAAAAAAGCCGAATGCACGGTTGTTCAACTGCCGGACCGCGTGGCCATTTATTGTAACCCGAGAAAAGTAATTGGTGGAATGTGAAAGTCCCTTGCATCCTTATCGTGGGAGAACATTGTGGACCTAGGACACGCGCCTTACTGCGGTCAACGCCCCCTTCAATGCAAAAATAGGTTAAGTTTAGATTTAGTACGGAATTTTATCTAGTAAACCCCAAAATTCAAAACCATCGTAATGTGTTCCACTTCGTGGTGCGTGGTTCCACTTCGTGGTCTGTTATCAACAAGGCCGAAATCAACAATGGTAAGGATTGTCCGAGTAATGAAAGTGTGGTGCGCAACCACTTTAAAGGTTCTAGTGAGGCCTTTCAAGTTGGACCCGCCTTGGTCTAATGTATTTTCTATATTCGCACTTAGTGACATCGCAGTATAGTGTTATTTTAAACATATAACACAATGACATCGCAAGCCCTCGAAACGTCATGCGTGTAAGAGGAAAAGACAGTTAATCGTTTTAAATTTGCTTCATTGTATTCGTGAAATTTGTGCCCGCATCGTATGTTATAGGATCTACGCATGCGCACATTATTGAATTGAATTGAATTTGCCTTATTTTACGTGGCGAGACTCGGGCCATCAGGCCCGCTCTTCCGTCTGACCACGCAAATTTCGCTACGCTCCTTTCACCAACTAGGAGAGAAAGGAGGTATTTCTTGGGCGAGAAACAGGCGATTTGAATTTAGCTCAGAGGCGTCATTTAGGCTTGAGGATCTACGAACATGGGACAGCCGGCTTTACTTCCCCTCCGAAGGAAGGCGTACGAAGGATTTTTTCGCCCTTAAAAATCCACGGCTTCGATTGGGTTTGAACCCGCCAACTTGGGTACAACAGTCCAGTACGCTAACCGTTACACTATCGCCGCCGCTATTAGGGCTACAACTGGCCATCGAGAATAAACTTTAAACCGCAGGTAGAGAAAAACTGCTATCATAGTCGATCGAGACTTGATTTGCTATGCTCGCGGGCCTAGAGCTAAGTAAAAAAATATATTGAAGAACGAAAGCGACTGCAAACGTAATTAGAGACACGGAGTTAGGATGATAGAGAGCAGAAGAAGAGAAAAGCAGCGGAATTGATCACACTGAATAAAAGAAGCCAGTGGTGCAACAAATGGCACAGACTTTCTCGAACTCCAACGAATTTGATTTTTAATTTCTTTGGTCTGGACTATCCACATTCTCTAGCCTGCTCCAATATAGAGCCACCCGAAGTACAATTTTTAAATTATTTAATTTTTTTGTTTCATAATAGACGTGAAATATTTCTTAAAGATTATTACAGAAGAGTAAAACCTCTTCATTTTATGAAATTTTTATTGAAAAATTCAAATATAGAGCTGTTTATGAGATGTGCATGTGCAGTGCCGAAGGGATCAATTTTAGGCCCCATCTCTTCCTACTATACGTAAACAATACGCCCTCGACGATTAGAAACAGAAGAACAGTTCTCTTTGAGGATGATTCAAATATTGTTTGCAATAAAGAAACCGTAAATCGTACAATATCAGATATTTCTGTAATAACAAATTAATAGTAAATGAAAAGAAAACAGTTTCAATGCAGTTTTTAATTTCAAATAAACAGCTTTATACTCCACTGAAAATGAACGGTGTGCCATTGACTGATGTTAAGGTAACAAACTTTTTAGGTCTTTCAATTCAGTCAAACCTTAAATGGAATGTCCATTTAAATGAATTCAACACTAAATTAAGTTCTTTGTGCTATGCTTTCAGAATTCTTTCAAATTCAGTCAGCCTCCACACTGCTCGTTGTGTATATTTCGCGATTGTTCATTCCAGCCTGAGATATGGAATAATATTCTGGGGAAATACATATATAACTCCCAGACTTTTAGAATACAAAAACCAATTGTACGAATAATAAACAAATCCTACCCACGTGATTCTTGTAAGCCTCTCTTTATTAATCTAGGTATTGTACCATTACCTTGTCTCTTGACATGTGAATCAGTGGTTTTTGTCAAAAATGACTCATTTAAGGGCGGAAATATATTTTCAACAAACGCCGTTGTCTATATCTACAACACGCGACGTAGTTATCATATTCATCAGGTGACAGTATCAACAGCTCACTGCAAAACATTCACATGAAATACATGCATTATTACGTGCATTATTTGACAACACCATGTCAGATGACAAACAATTCAATTCGATGCAAAAGTTGAAGTCTCACAATTGCAGTTGCACAATTGTTTCTATACAATTAAAGACTGTATCGAGCATCCAAAAGGAAAGTAATTTTATTTTAACAATGACATTTAGTGTATTGTATATAATTTGGATTGTATAATACGATTCTAAAGAACCTGTAACAAGTACTGTACTTCAGCTTCTGGGTCAATGGCCCCCATCTCGATCAGGTTTTCGTCCAGTTTCCATGATTCTCGATCAAATGCTGAGATGGCCCCTTGTTTTGCGTCTGGACCTACATGTAACTTCAAATGAACTTCTCCCCATAGCACGTCACACACAGTTTTGACGTAAATAAATCAATAAAATAATAAATAAAAACATTCAAATATTCATTACTCGGATTAAAATTACCAATTTTGTCTCCCATATTGCATTTTGACATTATTTTGTAAATATTGCTTTGGGTTACTCGGATTCTTTTGCACTTGGCGATGTTCCATCTCGCTGTTTTGTGACTCCTGGCGCCGTCCTACACATCGGGTTACGGGGTTTTCCTCCCTTGGCATTTCCACTAGCAGGACACCGCCCTAGGCGGGTCAAGCGAGAGCTCCGTACTGGTCTCCCGATGAATGTGGCAGTGTAGTGCTAGTGTGCGTTTGTGAGAGGAGGGGGCAAAGATCAAAAAGAAAAAATCGCGCGCGGAGTGTGGCCCGTTTGATAATGTACTGCTCTGGCACTCACCTGGTATTGATCAGAGAAAACAAGGACAAGTAGCGATCTGAGCAGCCGGTCGCTAAAACTCCTCCAGACAGGCTGAATTCGATTTCCATTTAACAAAGTAGTGTTGAATATTCATCGTCGTCGTATCCCTAACACTATAAGAGATGACGCAGTGGCAACGATGGTCGCCACTGAATCATTTTATCCGGTGATCTTGAGAAGTTGATATTTCGCTTTTCTTGCTCTCATTACAGTTCTCTTGATTAAGAGAATATTATGATTAATTAAGAAATATTACGATTTTTATGCAGAAAAATTTCATCACAAAATCACAAAATGATGATCCTTATCCCATTTGAACATGAATAAAGTAATATATTTACAAAACATAAACTAGAATTATGAATACTTAATATTATCACAAGAATTTGAGCCAACTAGACCAGACTTGTGCATCAATCAAGTGTTGAGTAAGAAAATAGGTCAAACATTTCAGTGGTTTTATACTTTATGCTCTCCCTGGTGACACACAATGGAGGCGCTACTGGTTCATAGCTACCCTCAAACACTAAGGAAGCAAATTCATTCACTTCTGTATTCCTTGACATTAACCCCAGTTTATCTGTGATCAGTTCTTGCTTTAAAAAATATAAATTATTGCTTGTCTAATAAAAATGATATTAAACATGTACTCCGTAGATAACTAACGCCGTAGATAATTGGCCCCGTGACTACGGCAGAGTTCGTAAAATCTACGCTGCAAGATCTAGACAGATTAAAACAGCGAAGATTCAGCCGCTTTTCAAAAAGACAACTAAAATGAAATTCAAAATTATCGGCCAATTTCTCTTTTGACGGTTTTTTTTCAAAAATATTAGAGAGACTTTTTTACATACGAATGAAAA